GCTACTGGTCCACAGACCGGGGGTTGGGGACCCTTGATCTAGAGGGCCACAGGTTTTCCAACCTTTCATTATACAGATAGTCCTCGACTTACAACAATTCATTTAGTGTCCATTTGAAGTTGCGACAGTAGTAAAAACAAAACAGTGACTTGTGATCGTTCATCAGATTGATGACCGTGACAACATCCCCAGCGTCACGTGATCAAAATTCAGACACTTGGCAACTGGCTCGTATTTATGACGGTTGCAGCATCCCGGAGTCAGGTGATCCCCTTTGGCGACCTTCTGACAGTCAAAGTGAATGTGGGGAAGCCAGATTCGCTTAATGACCGTGTTACTAACTTAACAACTGCAATTATTTGCTTTAACAACAGTGGCAATAAAGGTCCGAAAATGGGACAAAACTAACTTAAGACTATCTCGCTTAGCAATGGAAAATTTGGGCTCAATTGTAGTCGTAAGCCGAGGATTACCTGTAATACCTTTTTATATTATACGTCGACTTTATATTATAAGCTGACTGTAAGCTGCCCAAAGTTACCTTGAGGCAAAATGGGCTGCCAATCAATTTTACAAATAAGTAAAATGAATATTATAACAGGCTCCTGGCTTGGAGGGATTCTCCCATATTTAAGTTGTCATAAAAATGCAAATCTTTTTCTACTCTGAGTCTTCACCTTACGCATTAGACCTGAAATGAAAGGGTAAAAAGTCTCTTTTGACTCTAATTTCACCCCTAATGACTACATGGACACATCCATGATTCTTTGGCAACAATACCGAAATTGGTTTTGCCCAGTTTTCTACTTTAGCCTCCAGCTGTGCAATTTCTCTGGCAGCCTCTTCTCCCAAGGACCAAGAAGGTCCTGTCCATGCTTAGTAAGAAAGGCAATATGGCAACATTTTTTTTTCCAGCAATGGCTTTCGGCTCCATATTTGGTTTGCAAAGAATACTGGAACAGCTTTAATACACTTGTGGACTTCAACTCCCAGAATTCCTCAGCCAGGCATGTCCACAAGTCATAAAAGGGCCAAGTTTGAAGACCCCCTGTCCTAAAGCATCCTGGCTGAGGAATTCTGGGAGTTGAAGTCCACCAGTCATAAAAGGGCCAAGTTGGAAGACCCCTGGTCTGGATCCAAGCCTGCAGTTTCATCAAAATGGCCGACTGAGGAATTCTGGGAGCTGAAGTCCACAAGTCATAAAACGGCCAAGTTTGAAGACCCCTGCTCTTGGAGCAATGTTAAATCATTCAAAAAAAGCTTTGGAAGCATTATGCATTTCGTTTTTCAGTGAACTGTGCCACTTCCAGGTATTTTTTGGGCACAACCTGTGAAGTTGTTATAATATTTACACCTGTCAGTGGTCAGGGTTCAATAATTTGAAGGAGTACTTTTCCTTTCCGTTCTCTTTCAGTTTTTCCTGAATTCCACAATGTCCATGACTAGGATGTCCTTCAGAAGCTAAAATTAGCCCAGTTCCCTTCCTTCCAATAGTAGCATCAATTTTAACCCAATCAAATCCAGCACAATACCTGACACTGCCTACAAGCTGAAAACAAGCAGCCCAGAAATATCTTCTTAAAAATAGCATCTTGCAATATTCACTGATAACAAGAAAAAAAATAGATTTTGGAATTAAAATGATGGGAAAAGCAGCTCCATGGAAACAAGCATTGCAATGTACTTCCTTGGGATAGCAATGGTAAAATTTCAAAATTCCCAGGAAGACTGCTTAAGAGCTGGCCAAATTCTTTTCTTACATGAAAGCTTCTCTGGAGCCTTTGAAAACCTATAATAATAATAGATGTTTGGTATTAATTTGATGTTTTTACAAGTTGTTAGTTGTCTGATCAGCAATTAATTATGTGTAGGATGAGCTGGTTGCTGCAAAAGACATTCTAGAAAAGCCGGTTTTATCCCCGATAGTAAAAAAGATGCTGAGACTCTAGAAAGAGTACAGAGAAGAACAACAAAGATGATTAGGGGACTGGAGGCTAAAACATATAAGGAACGGTTGCTGGAATTGGGTATGTCTAGTTTAACGAAGAGAAGGACGAGGGGGGACATGATAGCAGTGTTCCAATATCTCAGGGGCTGCCCCAAAGAAGAGGGAGTCAAGCTATTCTCCAAGGTGTCTGAAAGCAGGACGAGAAGCAACGGATGGAAACTGATCAAGGAGAGAAGCAACTTAGAACTAAGGAGAAACTTCCTGACAGTTAGAACAATTAACCAGTGCAACAACCTGCCTCCAGAAGCGGTGAATGCTCCAACCCTGGAAGTTTTTAAGAAGAGACTGGGCAGCCATTTGTCCGAAATGGTATAGGGTTTCCTGCCTGAGCAGGGGGTTGGACTCGATGACCTCCATGGTCCCTTCTAACTTCATCATCATCATCATCATCATCATCATCATCATCATCATCATCATCATTATTATTATTATTATTATTATTATTATTCCTAAAATAATGGTTATATTCACTTCCCTATATAACTCAAAAGGTGTTCATGCTTTCTACCCCAGCAACTGTGTTTATTTCATAGGAAAGTCTGCTGGTCAAGAATCAGAAAAAACTGATGTATCAAAAGAAGCACTCTACTGATACTCAAGATTTAATAACTAACTTCTATGACTGCAGCAAACAAACAACTGAAATGCTTTCTATTTTAAAAGATACGGCAGACATCCTGATACAAAGAGTGATGTTGTTGAACTGGAAAAAAAAAGTCTAGGGAAAAATATATAACCAGGGACTTTTTTTAGTTTGCATTGGAATTTTTTTGCAATTTGGGGAACATACTTTGTGACTGACCTGGAATGTAATATTTTTTTGCACACACATACACACAAACCCTGGAAGTTTTTCTACCTCACACTACCGGACACAGGAAAATTCAATTAAACCTTGCATTTAGGCAGTTTCATTGCAAAGACAGTACACAATTATCTGCAGGTTCATGCACTGAATTATGGACAAGTGAATGAGGAAATTCGTCAAGATGGGCTTGGATCTGAGACACAGCAACTGCTCAAAGTCATCCAGTTGGATTTCATTGCCTGAGGCGGGACCAGAATTCATGATCTCCTTGTTTCTATCCTGGCGCCTATAACCACTACAGCAGCGGTCTTCAAACTTGGCCCTTTTATGATTTGTGGACTTCAACTCTCAGAATCCCTCAGCCAGGCAATTCTGGGAGTTGAAGTCCACAAGTTATAAAAGGGCCAAGTTTGAAGACCCTGCACTACAGTGAACTGGCTCTCAAAGCCATATTTTAATCAGGGCTCACTAAATAAATCCTAGGTGTATATATAAGATGCTAAAGTCAAACCACATTATGGCTTAGTGCCGCAGAATTTAGCAGAATTTAGTCAAGCAACTCAGATATCGTTTTCCACACGCCCAAAAGTATAGCGTTGCTTTAGCAGTTTGTTTCCTGCCACGTAACCACACAAATGAGGTTCACCGTAAAACAGACTAATCTGACAGGCACAGCCATTTGCAGGAAAATCCATACGGATTATAAAAATGACATTTCAGTCAGTAGAGATGTAATTGGCACTGACAGTTGCCAGGCTGAATAAAGCAGGGGTCTTCAAACTTGGCCCTTTTATGACTTGTGGACTTCAATTCCCAGAATTCCTCAGCCAGCATGCCTGGCTGAGGAATTCTGGGAGTTGAAGTCCACAAGTCATAAAAGGACCAAGTTTGAAGACCCCTGAAGTAAAGGTTCTTCATTGTTTGGCTTATACATGACAGTATCAAAATGTTTATTTATATTGATGGAAGTGAAGATCCGGTAGCTCAGGGTTGAACTATGGAGTCCTTGGTGCTCTCTGAGCTTAGCTAATTTTTGTTGCAGACGTTTCATTACCATATTAGGTGACATTAGCAGTGCTAAAAGGGAGGGTGGTTTGCTCTCAGTTCATATACTAGAAGAAAATATTTAACAAAACAACAGAATTGGAAGGGATCTTGAGGATCAGGGGCTGCCACAAAGAAGAGGGAGTCAAGCTCTTCTCCAAAGCGCCTGAAGGCAGGACAAGAAGCAACGGATGGAAGCTAATCAAGGAGAGAAGCAACCTAGAACTAAGGGGAAACTTCCTGACAGTCAGAACAATTAACCAATGGAACAACCTGCCTCCAGAAGTGGTGAATGCTCCAACACTGGAAGTTTTTAAGAAGAGACTGGACAGCCATTTGTCCGAAATGGTGTAGGGTTTCCTGCCTGAGCAGGGGGTTGGACTCGATGACCTCCAAGGTCCCTTCCAACTTTATTATTCAGTCAGGAAACCTTTATTTGTAGCTCAGGACTGAATTGTGGCGTCCTTGGTGCTCTTTGACATGTCATAATACAAAGATCGCAGCGTCTGTAAGATCGCAAGTTATCCGACTGCTTTCGGTTCAAATTTCACATAAAGTGAAATGGTATACAGGGCCTCCTGCTTGAGCAGTAGGGGTGGACTAGAAGACCTCCAAGGGGTCTTCCAACCCTGTTATTCTGTACAACCTTTGACGAGTGCCAGAATGCCTTAGGAGAGCCCGACGAGGTTTAAGAAAGATCCGGAGAAACAAAAGCATCCAGATCTGTCAAGCGGTTGCCCTCCAAAGGGGGTTGGACTACAGCTCCCATCATCCTGGGAAAGCCTGGCCCTGGCTGCCCACGAGGAGCTCTGTGGCTGAATGCAGCTGGGCTTTGAGGCAGCAAGTCAGGTGCAACATCTGGAGCAGGGGGTCTTCAAACCTAGCCCTTTTATGACTTGTGGACTTCAACTCCCAGAATTCCTCAGCCAGCCATGCTGGCTGAGGAATTCTGGGAGTTGAAGTCCACAAGAGGGCCACGTTTGAAGACCCCTGATCTGGAGCCTTCCAGATGCGAGACTGCAAATGCTCAATCCTTGCCGGCAGGGGATGACGGGAGTTGAAGTCCAGAGCAAGAGACGGGGGGGGGACTGCCTAGCGAAGGGGACTCCGGGGCCACGAGGGAGGGAGACGCTCGCTCACCCGCGGCCGGTCCTTGGAAATGGGGAAGAAGCGGCGGTTGAAGCTGTCGGCCACCAGGACGGCCTGCAGCGGAGGCGGAGGCTCCTCTTGGGGCTCCGACCCCCGCGAGCCCCCGGACCCGGCACCACGCTTCCCAGCAGGACCGCGGGCCGCCATGCTGGCTCGCGCTCTCCCACGCTTTGGGCCGCGCCTCTTCCGTTTCCGGAAGAAACCGGGGTGAGGGTGGGGGGGAAAGAGACGGTGTCTCGCGGAGGACAAAAGGCCTTGGAACGCAAACGCGGGCGGCGAATACGAAGGCGGGGAGGGGCGGGGAGGGGCGTGACGGGGGGCGGGGCGTTGTAGAGAGATCTGTGGATTCTACCGGACGGGAGATACGGAGCTGTTAAAAGTTGAATGAAGCATGAATTGAATGAAATAGGAATAGGAATAGGAATAGGAATAGGAATAGGAATAGGAATAGGAATAGGAATAGGAATAGGAATAGAATAGAATAGAATAGAAAATATGGAATGGGATGGAATGAAATAGGAATAGAATAGAATAGAATAGAATAGAATAGAATAGAATAGAATAGAATAGAACAGAGCTGGAAGGGACCTTGAAGGTCTTCTAGTCCAGCCCCCTGCTCAAACAGGAGGATTTATACCATCTCAGACAAGTGACTGTGTAGTCCCGTGGTGGCAAAACTATGGCACGCATGCCACAGGTGGCACCCAGAGCCCTCTCTGTGAGCATGCGCACCATCGCCCCAGTCCTAGGCTTTCAGCTCGGTTTTATAAAACCTTTTCGCTTTAGGCCTCTGCCGCCATGTGCAAAAAAAAAAGGTTCAATCAATCAATCAATTTCAACTTCTTGCGGGGTAAAAAAAAGATCTCGCAAAGTTGGAATTGATTGATTGACCTTTTTAGTCCCACCCAGTCTGCCGTTATCACCACAGCCACACCCACCCAATGGGCCATACCCACCCAATGGGCCACACCCACTCAATGGGCCATGCCCACCCGGCACCCGACTATACATGAGTGGGTTTTGGGTTGCAGTTTGGGCACTCAGTCTCTAAAAGGTTCGCCATCACTGGTCTAGTCCCTTCTTAAAAATTTCCCTAACCTTAACCCTAACCCTTTCTGTTCCCTCATCTAAGTCATTGATGAAGATATTGAAGAGTGCTGGGCCTAAGATGGAGCCTTGTGGTACCCCACTGCTTACTCCTCTCTATGTGGAGGTAGCACCATTGAGGTCTATTCATTGCGTATGGCTTGCCAGCCAGCTACAGATTCATCTGGTGGTGATGGATGGCATTAAATAAATTGACATGAATCTATTTGATGTAGTGTTTGAGGCATTAAACTGGAAACTGGGAGACCTTGAGTTCTAATCCAATCTTGGACATGAAGCCAGGTGGGTGACCTTCGGCCAGTCCTTTCAGCCCTAGGAAGGAGGCAATGGCAAACCACTTCTGAAAAATACCTTGCCAAGGTATTTGTCCAGGCAGTTCAGATAATGTATGGATTTCAACTCCCAGAATTCTCCAGCCGCCCTGGGGAATTTTGGGAATTCGAAGTCCACACATCTTCACGTTGCCACTGTTGAGAAACTCTGCTCTAGTCCAAAAGGGTTTGAGTTAAATTTAGTACAGGTAGTCCTCAATTTAGGACAGTGTTGAAGGAAGTCTTCGTCATGGTTCAGTCCAAGCCAGGAATAAACAACATGGAGACTGCTTTAGAAAGAAGGTTGCAGTTTATTGAAGAGGAGAGCCAGACAGGACGATGGCTCTGGAAGAAAAGAGAGAGAGCACATGAAGGGAGTGGGTTTTTATACCTTCTTGAGCCTTTTGTTTGGAGTTGTTCCTGTGGCATGAACTTTGACCTGACTCTTAGATTTTTGGTGTGTTGAGTCTAGGGATCTTTCTTCCTAATCCATGTTTCCTGACTCCAGTCTTTCTGACAAGATTATCACATCTGCAATTCTGCAGACTTGGTTTCTGTTTGGGACAGAGAGACTTGGGGGCAGGGTTGGTTTCTGCTTTTAAAATCCTTCAGGGAAATATATTCTGCCTTTTAAATATTTCCAAAAATATTTCTTTCTCCGGGGGGGAAGGGGGGTTAACTTCCCACAACAGTAATAGAGTCCAGAATTATGATCATAAGTCACGCCATTTCTTAGGCGGGTCATCACTTCTCCATCTCAATTTTATTACATTTTTGCAATGGTTGTTAAATCCATTGTTGTAAGTGCCTTTGACAACATGATGCACATGACATCACTTTCATGAAAACCTGTGTCTACCTTGCTACAAACAATGCTACCGCAGACCAATCTTGACTCTATGGCAGGGGTCTCCAACCCCTGATACCGGGCCGCAGCATGCCAGCAAGCGGTCCACACAAACAAACAAAGTCCCATCCACGAGATGCAGGCAGCACAGAAAACCACGCATCCTCCGGTCCGTGGAAAAACCTCTCTCCACAGAACCGGTCCCTGGTGCCCAAAATATTGGGGACTTCTGCTCTATGGGAATTTGACCCAGCCTTTGGAGATCCTAAATGTGCTTAATAAATGGACTGTGTTGTGGAGCTGTGCTTTCTGCCAGATGTTTTTTCCTTGTGTCCCTTCGCTATTGAACACAGCCACAGGCTGTTGGGGATGAGTCGGTATTGTCTGCTTCTCAGATTGAAGCACAAATGGTTCCTGTAGTCTGAAATTTTAACCACCTGAGTAGGGCAAATGGCGTGGAGCTGTGCTTTCTGCTTAACCTAAGGCTCCAGACCCAGTTGCACTACTCAGGTGACCCTGAGGACACAGATAAAGCTCCAGGTGGCCTCAACGACTCGCTAAAAGAAGGCAAATGACCAGCTGTCTGCAAGGAGTTATAAATCCTTCCATTTTCCACCCTCCAGTCAGAGCTGAAGAAGCTTCTTGGATGAGAAGCGAGACATCTTCAAAGAAAAAAACAAGAAAGTCCAGTTGCCTCCTTGAAAAAGCACCTTTGAGACAACCATGACCTGGATGACTGAGAATCTCCATAGACATTAAAGATCCTGGTTTCAAACGTCTGCTCCCCATGGTGTCTTCGGCTTCAGCCAATATAGCACAAGGTTTGGTGAAAGGACCACACAGGGTGAGTGTAACAATGCTTTTTAATGTGCTGTGTAAAGACCAACATAAAACAGGAGATATCCTGTGATCTAGCATGGCAATTAAGCTCAAACAGGGTTCCATGTGTTTAATATGTACAATTCTTTTAAGGCCAGCTTTTGCTCTGGCTGAAACATTCTTACTCCAGCTGTTTCCCAGATGTTTGAGACAGCTTTGAATTCCCAGACAGTCATGAAAAGACAGATGTCTCTGTAAGGGAACCAGTGTAACCAAGAACATCCTACAGCAGTGGTGGCGAACCTATGGCACGCATGCCAGAGGCGGCACTCAGAGCCCTCTCTGTGGGCACGCACACCGTGCCCTGGAGATGGCAACCGTCCCTCTTCAACCAGTCGCTCGCTAGCTCGCCGAGTTCCCACGTGGCCAGATGCATCCCAGCATGGCTGGTTTCCCTCCCCCCCATCCCATCCCTCCTGGCCTCGCATGCTCTCCTTTTCCTGGGCACGACCCACTGCATTGCCTCCTCAGCTGCCCGTCCAGCTCAGAGGCGGCTTCTCTGAACTGCTGGCGGTGGGCTGCGGAGCCCCAGAATGCGCCAGTTGAGGGGCTGGCAGGCTGTGGCTGCAGCTGCTGAAGGACACTGTCGGCCCCCATGCGCTCGCTGGCCTCTGTGTGCGGGGGCCAATGGTGTCAGGCAGCAGCTGCCCCGGCCTCGCCTTGCCTCGCGGCAATGGCACCCCCACCCTGCCTCGCCTTGCCTCGCCTCACCCCGCAGGACGAACCTCCTGCCCACCACCCCAACTCCCCTAACCCCGCCCGGCTCTTACAGGCGTCCCTCCCCACGAGCAACATCGAGGTGACCACACCCACCCAGTCTGCCATGACCACAGCCATGCCCACCCAGTGGGCCACGCTCACCCGGCACCCGGCAATAAATAAGTGGGTTTTGGGTTGCACTTTGGGCACTTGGGCTCTAAAAGGTTCACCATCATTGTCCTACAGCTTCACCTGAAAGGTAAAGAACAATTAACTAGTGGAGCTGCTTGCCTTCAAAAGTTGTGGGTGCTCCATCATTAGTAGCTTTTAAGAAGACCGCTTGTCTGAAATGGAATAGGGTCTCCTGCTTGAGCAGAGGGATGGACTAGTCACTAGAAATTTCTAAGAAGAGATTGGACAACTATTTGTCCTTAGTATAAACTCTCCTACTTGAGCAGGGGGTTGGACTAGAAGACCTCCAAGGCCCCTTCCAATTCTGCTATTCTGCATTTGGACTGCTTCCATTTGTTTCCAAGGAGCTGTAAAAACGTGCCTCTTTGGGGGAGCATTGCAAGACAGATAAATATCATTTACCAATACGAGGTATACATCAGGTTGTCAGTGTTTATATGCTTTTTGGTTTAATTTCACATATACTGTTCCTATAACTGTTGTTCCAGAGGCTGCTGGCATCGAGAAGCACCAAAGCCAAATAAATAGTTTCCACTGAGCACATCAATGAATAAAAGTTCCAGGAAGTCCTGAGTTTGCCACAGAGCAGTGATGGCGAACCTTTTAGAGCCCGAGTGCCCAAACTGCAACCCAAAACCCACTTATTTATTGCTGGGTGCCGGGTGGGCGTGGCCTACTGGGTGGGCATGGCTGTGGTCATGGCAGACTGGGTGGGTGTGGCCAAGGTGGGCGTGGTCACCTCGATGTTGCTCGTGGGGAGGGTTGCCTGTGCGGGCTGGGCAGGGTTAGGGGAGATCCAGGGGGTCTCTGGCAGGTGGGGCGGTGGGCAGGAGGCTCGTCCTGTGGGTGAGGCGAGGCAAGGCGAGGCAGGGTGGGGGTGCCATTGCCGCGAGGCAAGGCGAGGCCGGGGCAGCTGCTGCCTGACACCATTGGCCCCCGCACACAGAGGCCAACGAGCTCATGGGGGCCAACAGTGTCCGTCAGCAGCTGCAGCCACAGTCTGCCGGCCCCTCAACTGGCACATTCTGGGGCTCCACAGCCCACCGCCAGCAGTTCAGAGAAGCCGCCTCTGAGCTGGACGGACGGCTGAGGGGGCGATGCAGTGGGTCGTG